TGCACCGCGTGCGCGAGCTGCCCGAGCTCTTCTTGGGCCAGAGCGAGTTCGACTGCTTCTCGGACTTGGGGTCGGCGCCTCCCGCCGGCTCGGTGAGCTGCTGAGCGCGCCGCGGAGGAGAAGCGGGCCTGACCTCCTGCCGGACTCCGCACCCGGCGACCCGGCCCCGGACACACCCTCTGTGAGGGTGGAGGCGGCGGGTTTGTGCGCACTGCGCCGCCAGGGGCTGGGACTCCTGGCCTGCCTTCATCGGGGTGACAGTTGGCTTCACTTCTCCGACCTGAACCCCAAAGTGAAGGAGACTGGACCAGCTTTTGGACTCCACGTTCTTGGATTTTGTGTCTTGTCTCTTTTCTCGGCCCCTCCCCCCCAATCTGAGCCATGGCAGGCCTCTGCCTGATTTCCCCTCTTCTTGGGCAGCCCACTATGGGAACTGGGTCCCCCAGCCACCATTCCTTGAGCCCTTGAGCCGCACCCCCGCCGCCTGAGCCCCCACCCTCGCAGGGCCTCTGGCCTGCGGGAGGGGAAGATTGTACAGCTCTATACCCTGCAGAGTGGAGCAATGCCCCATCTGGCCTCCAAAACCAAAATAAAATTGGGTCACTTTATAGTCTTTTGAGTTTTCATTTCCTTATCACTCCAACTCCCAGCTATATTTAGCTTCCACAGTCCTGAGGCTGTTGAAGACTCTGGGTGGGAGGGGAGCCACATCCCCCAGCAGTGCCCAGGACAGGAAACCGACAGTTTCTTTCCAAAATATCTTGTAAGTTGTGCAATTGTGATGTCATAACCTGGAAGGCAGAGACTGCCACAGGGTGGCAAAATAACCCTCTGGCCTTCCCAGCTCCTAGGGTGGGGGGAGCTTGGTGGAGTTGTGGAGGAGCTGGCTGTACCTGAGGAGTCAGATAGCCCTGGCTTTGGATCATGACTCTCCAGTGTCCAAGACATCATCCTTTCAGACTTCCCAGGCTATTTCTTTCTCCTCAGGTGTTTGTGAGGCCTTTAGCAGAGTGCCAGGCTCCTAGACAGCCCTCAGTAAATAATGGTGAGGATCATTCTATGAATTGGCACCAGCTTTATTCCTGGCTGTATGCCCTCATGGAATCACAGTCCAGGTGGGAGGAGACAACAGACCTGGGAGTAACTAATCTTAGTATAACATGATGAGGTCCAGAATGCAGGGGGAATCGCCAAATGGGCAAACCCAGAAGAGGGAGCAGTTTCAGCTGGTTGAGGTGTGACATTTGATGTGATAAGAGCCTGGATGTTTGAATATGTTTTTAGGAAAACAACCTGCTTGAAGGCAGGGAAACATACCAGTCCAAGGAATCTCTGGGGAGGGAAGGTTCAGAGTGTCTAAAAGGGACAAGAAAAGACTAGCAGCTTTATGACAACTTTGTGAGGTCAGCACAGTTCTCCTTCCATCGGCTGGAGCTTGCCCAGGCCTAGCAGGATTTAGCCTCAGAGTCCTGATCACCAGTATGAGTTCCTGGCCGCCCTCTGCTGTTGATTGTCTCTAAAAAGATCCTTGAGGGTGTGGGAAGAGACCAAAGGTGGGGAGGAAGCTGGGTCAGAGACACTGCAGACAGAGCTAGGATCAGACAGGGGGGCATTCTCTAGGACAATGAACTCCAGAAACTGGAGAAAAAACACAGGGTTGAGACCTTCTGTCCCCAGTGGTTGGGCTTTGCTGTAAGGCCAAGTTTGTCAATGTGACTCTCCCGCAGCCAAAGGTTCTCCAGTGTTAGTACCAACCTTGAAACTATCAGGACAGGCATGGAATGAATGACAGGAGGTGTTTGATAAATGAATAAAGGTAATCCCTGATGTGACAGGACCTTCTGGGATAGGATGGAGAAAAAGAAGAGAGGCTTCTAGGGAAGAATGGCCTGAGCTCTGGGCTGAAAGGCCAGCGTTTGCTCCAGCTTTGCCCAGAAACCCAGGCCAGAGACAGAAACCCAGCGGCTGCAATGGGACAGGAAGGTTAGACCCTGGTTTGAACACTTCCTTGATTCCCTTCTCCCTGAGCCTCAGTTTTCCCACCAATAAAATGAGGCTAATATGTCCTGGCCCTGCTACTTTACAAGATGTAAGCCTCACCATTAGTGAGGAGGAACCAATGCAGGGATGGGTTGATATCTGTTGACAATCCTCAAGCACTCTCCATGTGGAAAGGATTCAACTGAAACCCAATACCTGCCAGGTTCCAAATCAAAGTGCAAGTGGAGGAGGGAGTCCCCTGCAGAGCTACCACCCCTCACACTCACCAGCTTCCAGAGTTCCAAGGGGTCTCTCACCTAAAGCAACCTGATGCCCCTCTGCCCTGTAGATTCTACTCTCATACCTGGGTCGGGTCTTTGGAGTCAGGGGTTAGACTCCCTAAAAGCTATGACCTGAGTTGTGGCTCAGGCAGGACCTGTTCCTATCTTTTTTTTTTTTTTTTTAAATTCCTATTCATATGAAAGTTTCCCTAGATTGTTTGGTTTGGCTTGGTTTGGTGCTGCTGAACCCAGGGGCACTTTACCACTGAGCCACATCCCAACCCTTTTTATTCCTTGTTTGAAGCAGGGTCTTGCTAAATTGCTTAGGGCCTTGCTAAGTTGCTGAGACCGACCTTGAACTTGCAATTCTCTTGCCTCAGCTTTCAGAATTGCTGGAATTACAGGTGGGTGCCACTGCACCTGGCTTTGTTTTTTGTCTTTGAGATGTTTTTGTCTTTGAGAGTATCTTTGGGTCACCCAGTCTGTCCTGGAACTTGAGATCCTCCTGCTTCAGCTTCCCAGGTAGTTGGGGTTACAGGTTTTTACCACCATACTTGACCCCAGACTGATATTCTTAATTTTGAATTATCTTTTGGTTGATTAGATCTTATCACCAATCCTTTGGGTTTTTTTTTTTCCTTCAAGAAAAGTAGAACTTCTCTCAAACTCATCTGTAAAATGGTACTAAGCTACTGTTCAGAATTTATCTCAGTTGATCTAGAATTTCCATCACCATCTGATCCCAAAGACCTCCTCTAAGACCCACCTAGCTCTTCACAGTCTTTGTGGTCCTTTGCCCAGGATCTTTAGCATTCTGAATTAGTTCTTATCTCAGTTTCACCAAGTGTAACATGTGCACAATAAACCATCTCCTCTGCTATTTTAGCTGAAATTAAAAAAAAAATGGGTATGCCAATAGTACCACCCCCTGCAGAGGTGCTATGGAGATTAAATAAGTGAATGCAGGTGAAGTGTGTAGAACAGTAGGGTTTGTAGTTAGTACTATTACCCCTGAGCCTGGCTTTTGGGGATATCCTTGTCTTGGAGTCTTTAGGAATGCTGTGCTTTAACCAACTATAAAGAGGTTACCCCAACAGTGACACTATTGCAAGTTGAGTTCCCCAGGATGCAGATTCTGCAATGGGGCTCAGCTTGCAAGAGATTTATTAGGGAGTGCCATCAGGCTCCACACTGCGGGAGGGAGGGAGGGAGGAAGCAGAAGCTACAAAGCAGGCCCAGCAAGAGCCTGGCCAACCCCACGGGGAACTCCCAAGTTAGAAGGGCCCTTCAGAGTCATCCTGAGCTAGGCATTATACTCTGCCCCCATCAGTCATCAGATGCAGCTGCCCAGGGAAAGGCCTGGCCGTAGGAGGAACAGCTCTGCCCAGCTGAGCCCATTCCGAGGAGCTCCCACGGGAAGGTGGTCTGTGGACAGCACTCCCAGCAGCTTGGGCAACTATTTCATGGAAGGGGCTCTGGGCAGCCCACCACAGTGTTCCCCACAAGCACTGTGGTGGGAAGGAGGGTGAGGCAGTGTGGTCCAAGTGGGAACAAATGCCTCCTCAAACTTGTGCTCCACCTGTCATTAGCCTCACCTGAGTCCCAAACTAGCTCCTTCCCTGTTACAAACAATAAAATATCTTTTACAAGGTTCTTCCACCTCACGGAGTTGATGGGCACAGAGTAGATTCTTAATAACTGAGCAATGTCATTCTTGTCACTCTCCTTCCAGCTCAGCTAAATGCTCAACAATCATTTGTTAAATAAATTAATGAACAGTGTGATTGTCGTCTTTTCCCAGGAAGCTTAAGTGGGTTAGCCGATTACTGAGTAATCCTTTTGAGTTCCTTAATCCACCCTTGCCTCACTCACTTTGCTATTAGAAGTGCTGGGTCAGGATTAGTGCCCACCAGAAGACCAAGTCGGTACTTATTGAGTGCCTACTGTGTGCAGGCACAATGGGAACAGGGAGGGCCCTGGTAGGTGCTCTTTTCTTCTCCAGCCTCTCTCGGTCTCCACCCACCCCTATCCAAAGGTCAGAAAACTAGGGCAGAGTCACACCTTATCTATCCAGTTTCTTTCTCTCTACAATAGGAAGGAGAAGAACCCTAACATCAAAAATATATGTGCAAGGCTTCAAATGAGACTAGATTTCTGAGAACACATTGCAAATGGTTCTGTGCTGCTTGGTCAGATGGGTCTGGGGATGGACAGCGATGGCCTCTGCTCTCTAGCTAGTCTGGGTAGAAGACACCTGCACATGCGTGGGACTTGAGATCTGGACAGCCTGGAGCATGTGACAGATAGTCATGTTGAGGGTTCCAGGCAGGCACGGCTGAGCAGCTCAGGATCTGAAAGGCTGAGAGCTTATGGTGACAAAAGGGTGAGATGGGGTCAGTTTAGGGAGGACACGAAAATGGAAGGACTGGATATATATACAGGGCAAGACCCAGAGGGTGCTCCGACAGATGGAAGATATAAGGGATGCTACTCTGGGCTCGGTCTCCTCATCTGTCAAATGGACTCACCACAGGCTTCTTGTGAGGATGAACTAAGGGGATGTTGAGTGCCTGCCCGATGGGCAGCTCAAATGAGAGCTGCGGCTGGGAAACGTGACCACAGGGAGAGCAGGAGCCCCAGGTACGCTCCCACCCAGGCTCCTGATACACATGCTCCTTGACCTCCTGGCCTCTGTGCCTTTGCCGTACTATGGCCATCACCTGAAATGCGCCCCTCAAGGTCTTTTCCACCTATGAAGGGCCAATTTTATACCATCAGAGTTGGTGAGGGTCTTTCCCCATCAAACTGTAAGGTTCTGGGGACAGAACTTGACACATGATCATCTCCACCTCCTCCCGTGTGTGATTCAGAGTCTGTGTTAGGATGTGCTTTAGGATGTGCAGGAGTGAGTGCGGCTACCCTGCCCCAGCCAAGCTGGAGCTGAGGCTGAAGGAGAGCCTGGGGCTGGATTCCAAGTTGGAGCCAGGAGCTCTGAATTCTAGTCAAGCTCAATCATGAACTTGTAACCTTGGGTATGATATTTTACTCTCCAAGATCTGTAGGATGGAGACCACATTCCCCATACCCATTGCCTCCCAGGCGCTGGGAGGTAGAGATGGGCCAGGGTTGTGGGGGCAGAGGCCTTGGTGTGCATTTTTTCCTTTTGGTTCTCACAAAAACTCCAGGAGGTGGGTATAGTTATTGTCCTTATTTTAGGCAGCCACAGAGCTCAGAGAAGTTAAGCAACCTAATCAACAACACCCAGCCAGCAAAAGGGATGTACAGACACATGGTAAACCACACAAGGCCCTTGGTAAAATATTGTTCTTATTGGGGCAGGGTGGACATCC